CGGCTGAAGGGCTGAAGACCAGGTGGCTCTCTGTGAGGGCCCACTGAAGGAAGAAGCCGATGTGCTTCTGAAAATGGCTCTGGGATGTTGGAGCTGACAAGATTATCAGTTAAAGCTGGTTCATGATAACAGTTAACAGAGATATACGAACAGTGCTTGTTTTCCCCATGAATAAGGGAGAGAGCTCTGTAATCTCAGGGTGATACTCAGCTGTAGCCTGCTTTTTGGATAATAATATCACCATTCATCCCACCATCTTGAATCAGTTTTGGAAGTAGACAGGGGTATAAAGAAGTACATCAATAAGCCATCCCCCAAGTCTCCTGAACCTTGGTGATCAGGATGGCTCTCTCACTCTCAGAGGTGAATTCACCGTGAAGTTGGGGAAGCTCAAGCTGCAGCACTTGTACTTGCACAAGCCCTTCCCAGGTTCTGAGAGTTGCCCTAGCCAGGGGTTCACATGGTTACATGTTTTTGTAAAATGTGCAAAAGTAAGACATTTTAACCACAGTGGGTTAAGAATGCTGTTTCTTTCCACACTGACTTCTCCTCTGACATACTTCCCATCATGTGATGGGGTGGTTGTGGGCACTTTTAGCGTCTGGCTAAAGGGAAACTGAGTTGGGGACACATTTAGTTTGGGTTTAGTGGGATATTTTTATGTGGTTTGCTGTCACCTCCATGTATATTTATTTCTGGCTTCCAGGAATACTCCTACTGTCCATTATTTATGCCTAATTTTGAATTTGTAATTCTATATTCTTTGTCTTAAGGTAGGTTCCCCAAATTGTAATGGCTTCATGCCCCACAAAACTTGATATCTCCTGCTTGCTTCCTGTATCTAGTCACCAAATCTTATCAATTCCATCAAATGGCATGCTGGCTAACTGGCTTTCTGAAAAACAAAAAGCCCTGATTTATAGTGTTTGCTAATTTCTGCATCCATTTTCCATTGCTGATTTTAAGTTACCAATGGTTTAACAACCAGCTCACAAAATATCTGAATATGTGACAACTAACCCTTGTAGGATGGTACAAGCTGGCCCTAGTATAGTTCCCCCTCGGAAATAGTTCCATGAACTGACCTTTTTTCTTTGTGTTCCTTTCTAATTACCTTAGTTCAGATTTTCATCTTGCCTCAACCCTTTTCCCCCAAGACTGTCGTTAACAGCCTCTTAGCCTATTTTCCTGCCACCTTGCTGTTCTGAGCTCAGTCTACCTTATAAAATACCACCAGATTTACTTCTTAAAATGCAAATTTGACCATGAAAGCCTTTGGTTTTAATCTTCTCCTGTCTTCCCTATTATCTATAGGGGGGAAATGTACATTCCCAAACTGGTTTATAAGCTCCTTTATCCTCTGACTCAACCTATCATGTGGCCTCATCCCTCTAGATAGTGCTGAGACCTCCTGAGTATACTTAATGCTTCCCAAACATCCTGAAGCCATCACTTTCCTGTGCCTTCACCTGGATTCTGCTTCTTTCCTTTCTCCACTTGGCAAATTCCTGCACACATGTATATATACTAGTCCATTCCTCAGACTATGGAAAAGTCTCTGCATTGAGGCCACCTCAAGGATGTCTTTGTGGAAACTCACTAAACTCACAAAAGGTTGCTTGAAGACCCAGGACAAAAAGAGGGACAAAAGAACAAAATGTTTTCATATAAAGAGTTACATATATGAGAATTCTGCAAAGTCTCGATGTACCTGACCAAACAGTACCAAATAAGATGTCACACTATGTTTGACCACTTCCTCCTTTGCTGCTCTGACACAACTCACTATGGCAGGATTAAAGAAACTGATCTGGGATACGGGCTCTTCAAGTCAGGAGTACCAAAATTTAACCTCCAGTTTTTTGCTCAAATAAGCTTTCAGGTGATTAAAATAATGCTGTCTTCTTGCTGAACTGATAAGCTTTATCATGTTGTCATATTCATAGATCACTCTGTGTCTTTCCTGCACTTTCAGTTGCATTCCCTATGAAGGCCTCCAACTTCACAAATGTTCTTAGGTCCTGCCACAGTATTCTTTTCATACTTTTTATAGCACTCATGAGGACATATATAATCATCAATTTAAATATCTGTCTCCTGTGACTAGACTATATGCTCCTCAGGAATAAGCACCATGTCATATTAATCTAGGTATCCCCAATGCCTGACAAAATGGGCCCTCAATAGCATATATAAACCCTTGATGTATTGAATAAAGGGTTGAATATTCAACCCTTTATTCAATATCCAATAATTCAACACAACCCTTTATGTGTTGAATAAAGAATGAATGGATAAATGAACGAAAGGCTGAAGTGGATAAGGCAGTGGTCATGGTAGGAAGGGTAAGTTTTCTCATGTCTATACAAGTGGCAATCAGAATACTTTACTTCTAAGATGATGAACCAAACTATAACTCTAGCAATAAAAAGTGGAAGCTCTTGGTTTTGTGGCTATTAATGTTTACAGGTATAATGCCTTTATAAAATTAATCCTTATTCTTAATATGATAAACATTAAATATGATAAACATTAAAAAAGGTATGGTTGGGATAATGGAATCTTCACTAGCATAGAAGCCTGGCTCTTGAGTATGGTGGCTACATCATGGGTACCTACTACAAATGAAGAGTTAAGAAAAGAGGATGAACAAGGCAGACTGGAAAAACATGTGGTGAGCTGAGAGAGGAGAGAAGGAAAAGCAGCATGTGAAAGACATGTAGAGGGGGCTATTGTGATAATATGAAAACAATTGTTATTGGGTTTATAGTAAAGAACTGCAATGGGGCACAGGAAGGAAGGAAGGAACAAATACTTAGAACAGAAAGGTATCTGGTAAACTAAGTGAAAAATGATAAGAATTTCTGAAATGGATGAGAAGACAATGGTAGGTACTGTTTCTGAGACTGTTTTATGGAGCACTTTCTTATACATTATAAAAATACACATTATATATGATTTATACTTCCCAAATTATGTTTTGTGAAACACTAATGTCTTCAAGATGGTAAGAGTTGTTACACTGGAAAAATATTCCACATAAATTATAACCAATTTCTTATAGATTCATTATATTCACTTACATAGTAAAGGCTCTGAGAAGTTCTACATTAAAATTTTTTTTTTCCTTTTTTTAAACCCAACTTTTTCAAAACAGATCCTAACCACTGAATATTTCTTTCATGAAACATCTACTAAGACATCAAAGGATGATAGTTTTTCTCAGAATACAGTTTGGTAAATATATGTATTTCATCTAATTCCCTTCAAGAAGGCCTCAGAATGTGACATAGAAGATAACTTTATCTCAACCACTCTTAGTTGTTACTAATCACAGAGACAAAGCATGCACAAGTGGCTTACTATCTGAAGATTGGTTTCTTCTCTTTGGTATGTGATAGATAATTGCCCTACCAACTTGTGAAGATAAAGGGGAACAGCACCTTTGAACATGCACTGGAAAAGTTTAAAACAACATCATGACCAGACCACTAGACTAGGAGTCAGGGGACCTGGAACACTGGCATTTCACAGAGTCTTGCCATTAAGTGTGTTGGTTTAGGAAAGTTACATGAACTTTCAGGACTTTCATTCATTCATACACACACACACATACACATATATATGAAATATATATGGATATATGCATACATACATACAAGGGACTTGGTCTAAGAAAGTTGCAAGGTCCTGAGCAGGGATTGACAGTAAGCTCAGAACTAGATGGGACACAGGGTAAGTGCCCCATCCACGGGTGAGAAGCAGAAAGCACTTGGGAGTGCTTTCAGATAGAAATAGGAGGTAACAGAGGAGAGGGGAGGGGAGGGCACTACTGATCAACTTTTGCTGGGTGGGGAACCTCTTTGGGTGCTGGGCAACAAAATAAAAATTGCAGGGCAATGAAGGGCATGGTCTTTCCTGTCTCTGCCTGTCTTAGTTTGTTCATACTGCTATAAAAGGACACCTGAGACTGAATAATTCATAAATATTTAATAATAGAAATTTACTTCTCATACTTCTGGAGGCTGGGAAGTCCAAGATCAAGGTGCCAGCAGATTCCATGTCTGGTGAGGACTTACTCCCTGCTTCCAAGATGGCATCTTGTTGCTGCATTCTCTGGAGGGGATGAACACTGTGTCTTCATGTGGTGGAAGGGACAGAAGGGCCAGGCAGCATTCTGAAAGCTCTTTTATAAGGGAATGAATCCCACAGGGGTGGAGCCCTCATGGCTTAATCACCCCACAGAAGGTCCCACCTCTTCATACTACCACAATGGAAATTAAGTTTCAACCTGAATTTTGGAAGGACACAAACATTCAAACTGTAACAACCCATATACAGCCCATTCCTGCGTCAGCTTGTTTCTATCCTGGCTTCCTTTGATGAAGTCTATACTTCCTGGCTTAGGTCATGGGCCTGTACGTGCTCAATTTGGTGGTAGATGAGAAACCCTCTCCACTCATTACAATGGTAATGGTCTGGAAATTGTCTGCTATCTCACACCTACCTCAGTAAAACTGAACTGAGCTCCAGGACCCATTTGAACCTAGAGCTGTAACCTTCCTGACCATTAATCCTTGTTTATGGCCTGCACGGCACTATGTGTAGGTGTTGGGCCCTGTGGGTCTTCCATTCACAATTTCCCTATTTTCCTCACCTTCCCAGAGCCCTAGTATCTGGTTCTTCCCTACAGCCCCCAACCTCCCCCCCACATTCCTGCAACCCCTCATCATCTCCCTGGAATGACTTTCTAGATTTGAGGCTTTTATCTAACTCCTGTATTTTTCTTTTCTACCACGGCTCAAACAAAAAATTTGTTTCTGGGTTTTTATTAGGACATTTTGGCATTTGACTGTGTGATCTTGCCACAGCCTTGGGGACGTTACTAAGCACATACTGTGCAATAAAGTTATCAGTTGCAAAATTTTTTTGAAAGACTTAAAGAGTGATTTGCTTTTTAGGTTCTTGAAATATGTGCAAACTCCAAAAAATGCCTGAAATAGCATTGGTCAAAATTTTATTATCTTTCAGCAAAGGAATTCTGTGTCCTACCATTTATGCCTTAGATGATACTCTCTATAGTTGCTACCATCTTCAAGCTCGGGTGCTCTTCTCTGATCTGGGTCCACATATTATCTCTATACCTTTAGCAAGGTTCATGCTTCCCTGGATTTGGTCTTAGATGGCCAGGGTATCCTCTGGCCAAGCTGGTCAGACTTCAAAGTTAGTCCCAGCTTGTTTTCTTCTCCCAGGTAGCATAGACACATATATAATTGTTGGCCTTCTGCAAAGAGAGGATAGGAAGAGTAAGTGGAATCACATCATATGCACACTTAACTAAAACAAATCCAATTATAGAAGTTGAGAGAGGTAGAGTGGAAATAGTATAATGGATTCTACCTACCATTTCACAAATTGATTATGCATCTGGAAGTGAGCAGGAAATAGAAGTCAGAAAAGTATTTTCCTTGATCTGTCCTTTTGCTTCTCCTGATGTGAGCATATCTCACAGGGCTGAGTGTGATTATAGTATTAAAGATACATATTTTCCTTACTACATGGCCTGTATGTGCAATACAATGATACCATTTGCTGCTCAACCAAAGAAATAGTCCTCTGGACCAAAGCTACAGGAAAACTGGTTCTTTTGGATCTTCCAGAGCAGTACAATAGAACTTTTTGTCATAATGAAAGAGTTCCATGAAATGTTGTGTCCAGTATGGTAGTGGGTAGCCCCATGTGGCTGTCAAAACACTTAAAATGTGGCTAGTTTGAGAGAGGAATTTAAACTAATTAAACTTAATTTAAGCTAACTATTTCATGATACTGTATTGAACAGTACAGATCCAGAGAATTTCCAGCATAGCAGTGTATTTACTATTAGTTTTCTCTCTCTGTATAACAAATTACTACAAACTGTAGCAGCTTACACAATAGCCATTTATTAATTAAGTCAGAAGTCTAGACTGGCTTGACTGGGTTCTCTGCTTAAAGTCTTACAACACTGAAATCAAAGTGTTGGTCAGACTGGGCTCTTACCTGGAGACTCTGAGGAAGAATCCCCTTCCAGACTCATTCAGGTTGTTGACAAAATTGGTTTCTTGTGGTTGCAGGACTAAGGTCAATGTTTCCTTACTGGCTGTTGGCCAGGAGTTGCTCTCAGCAACTAGAGAATAGTCTCTGGTCTCTGCATGTGGCCCCTTTCATCTTCAAGCTAGCAATGGCTCATTCTGGTATTTCAAGTCTCTCTGACTTCCTCTTCTGCTACCAGCCTGAGAAAAGGCTCTGCTTTTATAAAGGGCTCACTTAATTGGGTCAGGCCCACCCAGATAATCTCCATATCTTAAAGCCAACTGACTTGGGGTTTTAATTGTATCTGCAAAATTCCTCAGCAGCACTTACATTAGTGTTTGGTTGAATAAGTAGGGAGTAGGAATTGAAAGGGGCCATCTTTAGAATTCTGCCTATCACAGGCACCTTCTTGAGATTTCCAATGGTAATTTTGACCAGGTTTGATTTTTGTATTTCATGCTATCATTGGAACCCAATCCCAAGTTAAAATATGAACTAACAGTAGGTAGAATAATGCCATTGCTTTGAATTTTGCATTTTTTTCTTTTCTAAAGAGTCACATTAAAAATGTAGAAACCCAGGAGTTAGTAGGTGGGAGTGTCGGTGGGGTGGAGTTGGTGAATGTAAGCCTACATCTATCAAGACTTTAGCTTAGCTTTTAACACTTTAGTTAAGATAGGTAATATGTAGGTGAGATGGGCCCCTAAATACTTGGCTGGCTGAATTGTGGGGAAGGAGGATGGAGAGCCTACTGAGAAGGGTTAGGAGACAGGAGTTTGATGGGAGGACTTAGTGCTACCAAGGGCTAGTTAATTCATCTCTCTCATAGTTATCTACCACTTTGGTATTTGAGCCATACATTGCCACTCCATGCCTTAGCATATTTTGAAAGCTATTAAGGTCAACAAAACGGCATGATTTGTTAAAAAAGAGAGCTCCTTCAAATCCCTTCAAAGTGATATCAGGCTGTGTTAATGGAAGCATTATGTTCTAAACCAGAAAAAAAATTATTTCAAGCTACTTGGCACTAGTCTCGCCTGAACATATTTCAACTGCTTTTAGTTTGGAATACCACATGTTGAAAAAGAGACAAATTAGACAAAATTCGGAGAACGGCAACCAACATGATAAAATGTCTAGTTAAAGGTTCATAGCATGGCTCAGGGGATTGGTAATGGGATATAAATCTTCTCTCTCGTCAGCACTTCATTTTTAGCAGTGTCTATCTAATGGCTGTCGTCGCCACTTAGATTCAGAGAACAGCATGGTAGGAATTGATAGTTCAGGATGTTGTAGTCCATATGCCAAATAGCATAACCATCAGAGCCTTATTCACCTTTCTGGTAAAAAGTGAACGTTTTTTAACACAGAGGCTAAATCTGGTATTCACCTTGACCTGAGCCAGTTAGGTTCCAAGTTTGGCTGGATGTGTTACTCTGAGTAGTAGTAGACTTTGCTATATTTGAATTTGGAATGAGAGAAATTCATTTTCTCAAGTTTAAATAAATATCCACAGAGTTGAACTGTTTCCAAGAAGTTTGAAATCTGTTTCAAGTTTGAGTTAAAAAAAAAATGGAATGCCAATTCATTTAACCGCAATGAGGAATAAAACTGTAATATAAATTACAATGTTCATGTTAATGAGATCTGTGCATTCTATACCTATAGGAAGAACTCCAAAAGGTATAAAATAATAATCAGAATGTTACTCTGTGGTCAGTACAGTATTCTAAGATGATTCTAAAATGGCTGGATGTGTCCATTTACAGTTTTTGACCAAGTCTGGATGAGTGTCCAGGTGGTATGGTGGGTTGATGAACTGGCCTAGGATCCATTAGACCTCTGTTTTAGTCCTAGACTAGTTATTAACTTACTGGGTGATGTCTGGTAAGTGGACAAAGTGAGTAATAAATTGTCTTTAATACTTTTTTAGCTATAAAATTCTTTGGTTATATGTACATACTCTATAGGCAGCTAGTTAAATAGTGAGATAATTAACTGTCTTGGTTCTGTTCACTAAAGACCTTGAGGCTTTTTACACATATTAGTCAATTCAATAAACATTTGTTGAGAGCTACTTTGTGTAAATTATTGTGTTAGGCATGGAAGTAGACAGCCTCTTCACAAGGAATTTAAATGATTAATTAAAATACTAATTTTATCATTATGAATTAATATAAATATTAATGAATATGAAAGATAACATGAATATGGTAGTATACTATGGATAATGACTGATGACAATATAAGGCAGAATTAAATAAGGGCAGCAATAGGGATGCAGATACATGTGGGACAGGATATGGAATAGGGAAGATAGATTAATTGCATTTATGAAAATTAGAGAAGAATTCATAGAATATAGTGTTTTAATTGGATCTTTAAGGATGAATATGTTCAGCTAACTTTGAGAACCACTAATTTAGGGTTAGAGTTGAAGTTGAGTAATAGTTATGTCAAATTTAGTTTGCCTGGTAGGAGAGGAGGATGTAGGGAGAAGCTAATGACACTTTAGCTTCAGGACCTCTCATTTGCATGTCCCATTTCTGTATTAGTTTGCTAAGGCTGTCATAACAAAGTACTACAGATTTAGTTGCTTAAAACTGTAGAAATTTATGTTCTCACTGTTCAAGATCAAGGTGCCAGCAGGACTGGTTTCTCCTGAGGCCTCTCTCCTTGGCTTGCAGATGGCCACCGTGTGCTGTCTTCACATAGCCTTTTCTCTGCACATTCCCATCCCTGGTGTCTCTTCCTCTTTTTGTAAGGACATTAGTCATATTGGATTAGAGTCCCACCCTTATGACCTTATTTAACCTTAATTTCCTCCTTAAAGACTTTATCTCTCAATATAGACACATTGGGGGTTAGGACTTCAACATATGAATTTTAGGGGGACACAATTCAGTCCATAACAACTTCTAAGGCTCTGAAGGGACCATATCCTTCAGTTCAGTTCACATGATTTTATATATATATATATATATATATATAATTATATTATATTTAGTTTATTAAATATGAAATGTCCCATTTTGTTAAGGACTAAGTTTGGCAGTTTATATCTCTGACATTTCACTTTGACACTTCTTGTTTTACTTTTATTGTGAAGGTACATCCTCAGTTTTTCAAACACATAGTTTGGCTTGTGATGATCTTTCAGATTTTTTTGAGCAATTTTTGTGAAACCATGGAGAAGTCAAAAATTCGAGCTATTGGCTGGGCGCGGTGGCTCACGCCTGTAATCCTAGCTCTCTGGGAGGCCGAGGTGGGCGGATTGCTCGAGGTCAGGAGTTCAAACCAGCCTGAGCAAGAGTGAGACCCCGTCTCTACTATAAATAGAAAGAAATTAATTGGCCAACTAATATATATATATATTATTATATAATATATATATATATAAAATTAGCTGGCATAGTGACATGCTGTAGTTCCCAGCTACTTGGGAGGCTGAGGCAGAAGGATTGCTTGAGCCCAGGAGTTTGAGGTTGCTGTGAGCTAGGCTGACGCCATGGCACTCACTCTAGCCTGGGCAACAAAGTGAGACTCTGTCTCAAAAAAAAAAAAAAAAAATTGAGCTATTTTCTAATATGAGTTCTGTTGTGGAATGAATGCAGTGCAGACAGGTTGAAATATCAATGAAGTGTTTGGGAAGGATGTGGTTAAGGAATGCACAGTATGTCAGTGGTTTGAGAAGTTCCATTCTGGTGATTTTAATTTTGAAAATGAGCCATGAGGGCAACCTGAGACCAAGGTGGATAATGATGAGCTTTGAAAGCTGTAATGGGAGAAAAATCCATCTCAACCTACACGTGAATTAGCAGCAAGATTTGATGTTACTATTCCAATAATATTTAACCATTTGAAACAAATGGGCAAGGTAAAGAAGTTGGAGAGATGAATTAAATGAGCATCAGAACAGAAATTGTCTGGAAGGTTGCCTTTCTTTGATATCACGACATAAGGCAAACAATTTCTACACTGTATTGTTAAGTGTAATGAAAAATTGATTCTTTTTGACAATCACTAGTGTTCAGCACAATGGTTGGATATAGATGAGGTGCTGAAACATAGTCCAAAACCAAATATTCATAAAAAATGGTGTCTGTTTGGTGATTCAGCACTGGTATTATCCACTACAGTTTCATGAAACCTGGTCAATCCGTTATAGCAGATGTCTACTGCAACCAATTGGTAAAGTGATGAGGATGCTTGTGATTTAGCAGCTGAGATTGGTCAATAGGGACAGGCCAATCTTCTTGCAAGACGACGCTCAACCACATGTCAAACAAACAACGCTGCTCAAATTACAGCAGCTGGACTTGGAAACTCTTTGTCATCCATCGTATTCACCAGACCTTGCACCAACTAATGACCACTTCTTCCAGGCTTTGGATGACTTCTTGCAAGGAAAAATATTCAATTCCAACAAGCTGTGGAAAACGCCTTTCATGATTTCATGGCCACTTGCTCTCCAGGCTTCTTTGCTCCTGGCATAAACAAGTTACTGTTAAGATGGCAAAACTGTGTTGATAGCTTAGGTGCATACTTTGATTAATTGCACTGCTTCTTGTTTGAGATATAATAAACTACACTTTTGATT